AGACAGCAGTAAGCAGGTCGCACACTGACTCACCATCACCAGGAACTTAACCAAGTCTTCCAACATATATCACCAGTACAACGTTGTAATATAATGGAGACACATCCACCCCTCCCGCTTCACCTATCTTTGACACACACTCCTACATAATGCACGATAATCTTTAACTTATAAGAACATAAGAACATAAGAATGTAGGAACACTGCAGAAGGCCTACTGGCCCATACGAGGCAGGTCCTTATCAAAACGACATAAGAACATAAGAACATAAGAATGTAAATACAAATTAATAGTTTATCTCTTCAGATATCCTCGTTTGGACTTCCAGGTTCTCTCCTGTCTATCTTTTCCATGTATTCTCCTGTGTTTCTGTCTGTCTACCATTTTCTCTCACTTGTGAACGGACAGACCAAGCCGGAACAAACTCTCGTCCACCTTTAACCTACAATTTGCATACTTTCACATCACGTCTAAAAATTTCCCTCGAGACTTAATGTACCATTGTTACCAAGATCCAGGTAATGACACCATACACACACACTGATATTATGCCATGCAGTGTCGTCTCAGTGCCACTGGCTTCCTTGAAGCCTTCCTGGTGTCACACTAACCTGTCTGGTGTCACACTAACCTGTCTGGTGTCACACTAACATGTCTGGTGTCACACTAATATGTCTGGTGTCACACTAATATATCTGGTGTCACACTAACATGTCTGGTGTCACACTAACATGTCTGGTGTCACACTAATATGTCTGGTGTCACACTAATATATCTGTGTGCACCTAACCTGTCTGGTGTCACACTAACATGTCTGGTGTCACACTAATATGTCTGGTGTCACACTAATATATCTGGTGTCACACTAACATGTCTGGTATCACACTAACATGTCTGGTGTCACACTAACCTGTCTGGTGTCACACTAACATGTCTGGTGTCACACTAACATGTCTGGTGTCACACTAACATGTCTGGTGTCACACTAACATGTCTGGTGTCACACTAACCTGTCTGGTGTCACACTAACATGTCTGGTGTCACACTAACCTGTCTGGTGTCACATTAACCTGTCTGGTGTCACACTAACATGTCTGGTGCCACACTAACATGTCTGGTGTCACACTAACCTGTCTGGTGTCACACTAACATGTCTAGTGTCACACTAACGTGTCTGGTGTCACAATAACCTGTCTGGTGTCACAATAACCTGTCTGGTGTCACATTAACCTGTCTTGTGTCACACTAACCTGTCTGGTGTCACACTAACCTGTCTGCTGTCACACTAACGTGTCTGGTATCACAGTAACCTGTCTGGTGTCACACTAACATGTCTGGTGTCACATTAACCTGTCTGATGTCACACTAACCTGTCTGGTGTCACACTAACCTGTCTGGTGTCACACTAACCTGTCTGGTGTCACACTAACATGTCTGGTGTCACACTAACCTGTCTGGTGTCACAATAACATGTCTGTTGTCACACTAACCTGTCTGGTGTCACAATAACCTGTCTGGTGTCACAATAACCTGTCTGGTGTCACATTAACCTGTCTGGTGTCACACTAACCTGTCTGGTGACACACTAACCTGTCTGGTGTCACACTAACATGTCTGGTGTCACACTAACCTGTCTGGTGTCACACTAACATGCCTGGTGTCACACTAACCTGTCTGCTGTCACGCTAACCTGTCTGGTGTCACACTAACATGCCTGGTGTCACACTAACATGCCTGGCGTCACATTAGCCTGCCTGGTGTTACACTAACCTGCCTGGTGTCACACTAACCTGTCTGGTGTCACACTAAAATGTCTGGTGTCACACTAACATGCGTGGTGCCACACTAACATGTCTGGTGTCACACTAACCTGCCTGGTGTCACACTAACCTGCCTGGTGTCACACTACCTGCCTGGTGTCACACTAACATGCCTGTTGTCACACAAACCTGCCTGGTGGCACACTAACCTTCCTGGTGTCACACTAACCTGCCTGGTGTCACACTAACCTGCCTGGTGTCACACTAACCTGCCTGGTGTCACACTAACCTGCCTGGTGTCACACTAACCTGCCTGATGTCACACTAACCTGCCTGGTGTCACTAACATGCCTGGTGTCACAGTAACCTGCCTGGTGTCAAACATGCCTTGTGTCACACTAACCTGCCTGGTGTCACATTAACATGCCTGGTGTCACAGTAACCTGCCTGGTGTCACACTAACATGCCTGGTGTCACACTAACCTGCCTGGTGTCACATTAACCTGCCTGGTATTACACTAACCTGTCTGGTTTCACACTATCCTGCCTTGTGTCACACTAACCTGCCTTGAGTCACACTAACCTGCCTTGAGTCACATTAACCTGCCTTGTGTCACATTAACCTGCCTGGTGTCACATTAACCTGCCTGGTGTCACTCTAACCTGCCTGGTGTCACATTAACCTGCCTGGTGTCACTTTAACCTGCCTGATGCCACATTAACCTGCCTGGTATCACACTAACCTGCCTGGTTTCACACTAACCTGCCTTGTGTCACACTAACCTGCCTTGAGTCACACTAACCTGCCTTGTGTCACATTAACCTGCCTGGTGTCACATTAACCTGCCTGGTGTCACTCTAACCTGCCTGGTGTCACATTAACCTGCCTGGTGTCACTCTAACCTGCCTGGTGTCACCTTAACCTGCCTGGTATCACACTAACCTGCCTTGTGTCACACTAACCTGCCTTGAGTCACACTAACCTGCCTTGTGTCACATTAACCTGCCTGGTGTCACATTAACCTGCCTGGTGTCACTCTAACCTGCCTGGTGTCACATTAACCTGCCTGGTGTCACTCTAACCTGCCTGGTGTCACCTTAACCTGCCTGGTATCACACTAACCTGCCTTGTGTCACACTAACCTGCCTTGTGTCACAATAACCTGCCTTGTGTCACACTAACCTGCCTTGTGTCACAATAACCTGCCTTGTGTCACACTAACCTGCCTTGTGTCACACTAACCTGCCTTGTGTCACACTAACCTGCCTTGTGTCACACTAACCTGCCTTGTGTCACACTAACCTGCCTTGAGTCACACTAACCTGCCTTGTGTCACACTAACCTGCCTTGTGTCACACTAACATGATGCCTCCCATCAACCTTTCCTAGAGCGATCTCTACCCAGCATGATTTCCACGACAGATTTATACACCCTCCAAGTCATCCTGTTGTTGTATCCTCTCTAAATATCCAAACCACTTCAGTAACCTCTCCTCAGCCCCCTAAATAATTCTCTTCTAATGCTCAAACTACGAATTTTCTGCATGATATTCACACCACACATACTGCCCTGAGACACAACATCTCCACTGTCTCCAGCCTCCTCGCTGTAATGTCTAAAACCCATGCTTCACACCCATAAGTGTTGGTACCATAATATTCTCATCCATTCCCACTTTTTGTGTCTAAAGAAAACGTTTTTCGCCTCCACAGATGCCGTAATGCACTACTCACCTTCTTCACCCTCATTAATTCTATGGTTCATCTCATCTCCAATAGAACCATCTGCTGACACCTCCACTCTCGTAAGCTTCTCTCTATATTGTGCGAGTTATTTGTGTATCACTCTCAAATATCTGAATACTTTCACTTTCTCCATACTCTCTTCTTCCAGTCTGATATCCAATCTTTCATTACCCTTTTTTTTATTATTTTCACCACATTGTTCTTTCCTATGTTCACTTTTAATTTCCTTCTTTTACATATCTAAATTAATCCACCAACCTTTACAACTTCTCTTCAAAATCTGATTAAAGCACAGTGTCATCGACAAAAAGCCGCTGTGACAACCCCTACTTTGTATTATACTCTGTATATTTTAACCCCACACCTCTTGCCAACACCCAAACATTTACTTCTCTTACAACCCAATCTATAAATTTATTAAACAACCATGGTAACATCACACATCCCTGTCTAAGACCTACTTTTACTGGAAAATAATCTCCCTCTCACCTACATACTCTAACCTGAGTCTCACCATCCTCGTAAAAACTCTTCACTGCTCTCAGTAACCTACCTCCTGTTCCATACACTTGCAGCATTTGCCACATTTCTCTCCTATGCACCCTATCATACGCCTTTTCCAAATCCATAAATGAAAATCTCTTTACTATTATGTAAATACTGTTCACCTATATGCTTCACTGTAAACACTTAGTCTACACACCCCCTACCCTTCCTAAAGCCTCCTTGTTCATCTGCTCTCCGTCTTACTCTCAGTTCTTCTAGTAATAACTCTACTATACACCTGATCAGGTATATATACTCAACAGGATTATTCCCCTGTAATTCTGACACTTTCTTTCATCCCCTTTGCCTTTATACAGAGAAACTGTGCATGCTCTCTCCCAGTCCTAATCTCAAGGTACTTCCCAACCACTCCAGGAAGTAATATATATATATATATATATATATATATATATATATATATATATATATATATATATATATATATATATATATATATATATATATACATACATAATTCCTGGTAGACGCAACTGCGAGTCAGATAAGAGTTATCTGTGGGACTCGTGTGGGCAGTGGGCATCAGTATGCCCATCCTAGATCGAGGTTCAAGGTGTGTGAAGTTGGTATCTATCATTCCTGTGACTCACCTTAGTGTCAGAAGTCCTTAAAAGTCCTTTTGACTCTTCTCATATACACAACATTGTATATCCTCCCTCAAGTTGCACGACACATACACACACATACTTCACATGTTGCAGTGCCTGGCACCTAGGCCTCCACTCATTAATATGTTGCAGTGCCTGGCACCTAGGCCTCCACTCAACTTATTAACACAATCATGCTCTTTTTTCATGACACTTGACATGTTGTAAGAGTAAAGTCACTTTCACTAAGGCTCCTTCACTCTCTCTTCTGACAAGCAGACGCATCTTGTCAGCCTAGATGTACGTCAGGAGGTGAAGTGTGTGCGGTGGGCAGGACTCACCTGACGTGGCAGTAGGTGAGGTTCAGCTGCACCGGGTTCACTGGTATCTTGGCTCGCTCACAGCTTGACACACGGACTAGTTCTATTCTCGGCCGCCGGTGGTTCAGGCGCGCCTCTGAGCACATGACGCCACGCCCCCTCACGCCTATAACACTGAAAACACAAAAATATAATACAAATGAAGAGTTTAAACCTCTGATCCCTCCCCCACCCCACAAAAAAATGGAAATCACTCACTGTAGCAAAATACTGAGACAGTGAACGACTACAATAATTATTGAAAAATGGTAATACAAGACCGTAGATTTTTACATCACAGATAGATCTTTCATCATCCCGTGGGTAAACAGAAATGAATGTTTAAACTAACATCCTAGACGGAGCTTAACGTTCAGGTGCGGCTCCTTCATGTGTCAACAGCTCCTTGTAGGAGAAGAAACAGTTTTGTGTTGGGTGAGTGTCTGCTTGAGGTGATGGTGAGAGGAGGTAGGTGGAAGTGGGTGGAAGTGGGTGGAGGTGGGTGGAGGTGGGTGGAGGTGGTGTCTGAAGAACACTTAACACCTTTAAGACTCTCATTGTTGTATGAGCCAGCAGAGAACAACCTTCCGGGTCATCACCAGAGAGAGAGAGAGAGAGAGAGAGAGAGAGAGAGAGAGAGAGAGAGAGAGAGAGAGACAGAGACAGAGAGAGAGAGAGAGAGAGAGAGAGAGACAGAGAGAGAGAGACAGACAGACAGACAGACAGAGAGAGAGACACACAGACAGACAGACAGACAGTCAGACAGAGATAAACAGAGATAGATACACACACAGGCACCGCTAAAGACAAAAAAAAACCATCACGAACTACCACAATTACGAATTTCCGCTACCACCATCACCACCTTCCAAACAAACCAACAAGTCCATAAGACCACAACCACTGCCAGTCACCACTACTACAACCACAACCATCATCACCATCAGCAGGTGTTAGCTGAGCCTCAGCAGGAAGCAGGAGTCCAACACAGACTTACAACCAACAGGTAGTGGTTGTCGTCCAATGGGAGGGAGGCGAGAGTGGTAAATATTTGATCAAGTGGAGGTGGGAGGGAAGGAAGGGCGGGCCCTTACACCTGCCTCCTTCCTTCTTGCTGCCTTCCTGCACCCCCTCACAGCTGCTGTACCCCCCTCACACACACACACACACACACACACACACACACACAGGCACGCACATGCATGCACACACATACATACAAACTCTTCAGTCATTAGGAAACAGACTGTGAAAGATTGAAGCCACAGAGGACCGGATAAATAGAAAGTTGTTGGAGGTGATGATGGAAAACAAGACGAGTCAGCATGTTATGAACACAACGGAAGGGGGAGGAGGCGACGATATAGAGAGGCTGGACCTTGTGTTCATCCTCAATGATTCTGATGTAGGGGACACTGAATATGAGAGGCTCCTCGGTGCTGAGGTTTAATTACCTTATAGAAACGAACATGAAGAGAAACACGGAGCATGAAGAGATAAATCTAACTTTAAAAGAGACTACACAGGCATGACGTAATTCCTAAATGGAGGGTGTTGGGTAAGGAAGCAAGATGGAACGACAGCGAACAAAATGGTGTATGTAGCCGGAAAGTGCTGCGAGGCAAAGGAGATATTCATACCCAAAATCAGAAGAAACACTGGCAAGAACAGAGTCCATGATTCATTCAGAGAAGCAGGGAGACAAAAGTTAAAAATGCAAGAATCTGGAAGAAATACAGAAAACAAAGAACACTTTAGAACAGGGAAGTGAACAGAAGAAAGAGAAGTCGAACGACACTGAGTGATACAACGTGGAAAACAAAATCTAAGCCAAATTTGCTATACATCCACATCAGAAAGAAGACTGGTGGGAAGGACCAGGTAATAAGGTTGAAGAAGGAAGGAGGGGAGCTCAGTACGAATACCAGCAAGTCTGCGAGGAACCCAACGAAGCATTTGGGAGGCATTCTCAGTGGAATTAGGAATATTGCTAAAGAATCAAAAAGGGAGAGTGCACACCAGCGAGTATTGGACACAATGCACACAATAGTAGGCGAGGTACAGATATTGAGTGAGCTAGATACCTCGAAGGCGACAAGACCTGACATTTTTTCGTGGACTCTAAGAAATGTAGCAGAACTGCGATATTTAACAAGTCATTTGAAACAGCAACTGCCTGATGTCTGGAAAACTGCAAATGTAGTTTCGATATTTAAAAAAGAGGACAGTAGGTTAGCTCTAAACTACAAACCAGAGTCACCGACATTCATAGCACGTAATGTTATGGAGAATATTATCAGGAGAAGAGTAGTGGATCACCTGGAAAGGAGCAGGTTCCTAAACAACAACCAGCATAGTTTTAGACAAGGCAAAGTAACGAGAGCTAGGCAGGAGGAGAGAGAGAGAGAGAGAGAGAGAGAGAGAAAGAGAGAGAGAGAGAGAGAGAGAGAGAGAGAAAGAGAGAGGAGAGAGAGAGAGAGAGAGAAAGAGAGAGAGAGAGAGAGAGAGAGAGAGAGAGAGAGAGAGGGAGAGGGAATGGGTGGATTACATATTTTTGGATTGTAAGAAGGCGTTACATACACTCTGTCACAATAAACTGGGACAGAAGCTAGAGAAGCAGGCAGGAATAACAGGGAAAACACTACAGTGGATCAAGAAATATTTAACAGGAAGTAAACACCGAGTTATTGTCTGGAAGTTGTCGGGATAGACGAGTGACGAGTGTGTCCACTACTGTCACTACCTGTACCAGTACTGTTTCTTGTATATATAAACAATTTCACAGAAGAAATCGAGTCACAGATGCCCCTGTTCCCTAATGGCATAAAAATTAATGAAAATACAAACTGGCACAGACAAGGAAACACTACAAAGAGATCTGGACAAGCTGGAAGATTGGCTTGAAAAGTTGCTATTAGAATTTAATCCCAGCAAATACAAAGTTACGAAGATGATGGAAGGGTAAAAAGACCTGCGGGTACAGACTCGGGATAAGCGAAGTTCCCAGCGTTTCACTGAGACACTTGTCAACCGGATAATTACTGCAGCAAAAAACGAGGTTGGCAAATTTAAAGATAACTTTCATGAACCTCAAGAAGGAGGTTATGTACGACCTTATACACAGCATATGTCAAACCCATCTTAGAGTATGTAGTGCCAGTGTGGTGCAACTATTGTAGTGCCAGTGTGGTGCAACTATTGTAGTGCCAGTATGGAACAGCTATTGTAGTGCCAGTATGGAACAACTATTGTAGTGCCAGTATGGAACAGCTATTGTAGTGCCAGTATGGAACAACTATTGTAGTGCTAGTATGGAACAACTATTGTAGTGCCAGTATGGAACAACTATTGTAGTGCCAGTATGGAACAACTATTGAATTGCCAGCATGGAACAACTATTGTAGTGCCAGTATGGAACAACTATTGTAGTGCCAGTATGGAACAACTATTGTAGTGCCAGTATGGAACAACTATTGTATTGCCAGTATGGAACAACTATTGTATTGCCAGTATGGAACAACTATTGTAGTGCCAGTATGGAACAACTATTGTAGTGCCAGTATGGAACAACTATTGTAGTGCCAGTATGGAACAACTATTGTATGCCAGTATGGAACAACTATTGTATTGCCAGTATGGAACAACTATTGTAGTGCCAGTATGGAACAACTATTGTAGTGCCAGTATGGAACAACTATTGTAGTGCCAGTATGGAACAACTATTGTAGTGCCAGTGTGGTACAACTATTTGATAAAATATCTTAAGAAACTGGAAAAAGTGAAAAATTTTGGAGTGTTACTAGTCCCAGAGCCGAGAGATATTAGGTGTGAGGCGAGACATGAGGCATTAAACCTGACGACACTAAAGAACACAAAAGCCAGAGCTGACATGATTACGACGTGCAAAATACTGAGAGGAATTGACAGAGTGGACAGGCCGAGTCTTTCTGAGAGACGAGTCCCTAGAACATGAGGTCACAACTGGAAGTTAAATACACAGACTAGTAAAAGGGATGTCAGGAAACACTTGCTTAGCTTTTGAGTGGTCAGGAAGTGAACCTAGAAAGCGAAATATTAGAAGAGGAAATATACAGTTTTAAGAATTAAATATGAAAGGAATCACCCAGCCAGGAGAGTGAACCGTGGACTGCAGGTTAAAGTTCTCGTTTCACACGGCGAGGGTTCGGGTTCGATTCCCGGCGAAGATAGAAACATTGGGCGTGTTTCCTTACACGGGTTGTCTATGTTCCTCATCAGTAAAATGGGTACCTGGGTGTTAGTCGACTGGTGTGGGTCGCATCCTACGACAAAACTGACCTAATTTGCGAGAAAATGTTCAGCGTAACCAGGGGTTTTCTATATAGTAGTATGTCATTGATGTCAGCTAGGACTGTATACCTTGTACATGTACTTGTAGAAATACAGATATTGTTATTAATAGTAGTAGTAGCGAGCAGGACAGGCGCGGGGCCAGGAGCTCACTCAACTTCTGCAAACATAAATAGGTGAGTACGTATACGTACGTGAACATGCACACTCGTACACTCACGTGCACATGCATACACAGACGCGCACACACGCATTCGCACTCACACGAAAATCCGCACCCTAAAACTAATGACTGGAGCCAGACAGCGAGAGGAAACAAGCAATAAGGACACCTCTTTTAGTGCTGGTGTCCGTCATAGTGGGTTTTCTATCAACTTTGAGGAGAAGGTTGTTGCTGTCTCCCGACAGCAATAACCTTTTTCTTAACAGCTATTTGCATCTCCAGCCATTGTTTCCTTCAAGAGGAATGTACCTACATAACACAAGCCTTCGCACGTTCTTAATTTCCCTCTTTGTTCATGCGAAGGCTCTCAAGGAACAAGCTAGACTCAACAAATCCCCTACGGAACACTTCTCTAAATAGTTTTTAGTGTTCCCGCGTGAAGATGTTGCCATGAATACCCGCGAAGTGTTTGCTAGAAGCACCATTAACGCATCCTGTATGACTAAATCCTCCATCAAGGGCGTCACTACGAATGGAAATCCCACATCTCTAACCAGTATGGGAGGAGTCTTCACCATCCCCTGTGAACACTGTCCCAAGAAATATATAGTGGAAACAGACAGAGATCTATTCTGAT